AAGCTATGTGTGTTTCCCCTGATGCCCTCACGTTTTGGCCATTCTTGTAAGACTCCGTCGTTTGCGATTTACAGATATTACAATCTGATGAAAATCACGCAAGTAAATAAAATTAAAACTACCACAATGCATCCTCGCAAACCGTTTGTCATCTTGGCTTCAAGGTAACTTTCTCGAGCCTGGTCGCAGTTTAAATAAGCAAAAATTGAAGATTACGAAGCTAGAAGGATATACGTGACGGCCGTCTGCGAGTGCTTGCTCCACATCACCAATCTTAGTTATGGCATGCTATGTGCATCTTTTTCATAATAATAATAATAGTGGCTTTTGGGGAGGTTAAGTAGCATAACTCGTAGCACTTACAAGTCTGCCGCTGTGAGAGGCTCCTAGGACCACGCTGCGCGTTGCCTCCCTGGGCTTCCCCATTCTGAATTTCGGCACCCCTCTTGGCCTTGTTCGGCCGACGAACAGTTTTCACTGCCCGCCGACGAGGGCTTGCTAGTGGGGAGTAGACGTCATTTACACGAATCAAACGGTCTTGGATGCTCACGTGGGCTGGCGAACAGGCGCGTGAGCCCTTGGAGGGCTCTGTAAGAGCGCCTGCGAGGTCCTGCTTTTGCTCCTGCGACGCACAAGCTATGCGACCCTCTTTAGCCATGTCTGCAAAGGAGAAGAAGAAGGGGTAGAAGCACAAATTTTAAACGCCTATTTCTTTAGTCCAACCGCTGACCACATTTCACATGAGGTTTGAGTAATGCCCCGACATTATGGCTATTTTGCGGTCCCCAAATGTACTCAGTGAACTCAAGACATCAGCTATGTGGAGGTATTTGACCAAAATATAAATGGTGCATTGGATGTAATTACTACTCGGCATCCAGGTTTTAAATTCGTGCTGAAAGCCAAATCTTTGCAATTCCATTTCTCCTGCGTAATATGCACGAAGTCGTATGAGGGGCTTTAGGATGCCGAAACTACTAACATGGCTGCTTGGGTTAATAAATTAGCTATGGTCACTGGAGAAGACTGCTTTTAATAATAACTTCCAGATTCCACTACATTTTGTACACAGATCTGTCGCGATTATGAAATGCGAGACAAACAATGTTTGGTTTGAAGACCGTGAACGCACTTATCATGTTGGTGAAGTGTCCCCGTGATGTTTGATAGAATTTCTGGTATTTTCACAAATCCGTTTTGCAAATTCACTTCAGTCGTAGGTTAATATCAAAGTAAACTACATGTTCTGTTCGAAAAAAATAATGATACTTAAGGTTCTCGCCACTTTCCGGTAGCATTGTACCGCGCCAGAATGAAAATGATTATATTTACGATAGGAACCAATTTTCTTGCAGTAACGCTGGCTGTCTGCATGCTTAGCATGATGCAAACGGCCTTAAGCTAGCAGCATTCCGTGTTTTGCTCAAACACTAATGGTTGAATGTAATCTTGTCTCTGTTACCACACTAAACTGACAAAGAGCTTGGTCCCATTTCAAGAGGCCACAACCAGGTCACATTTTATCCCTTAGCACTGCAATACCAGATTCTTTTCAAGTTTTTTATTGACACAAATCAATAATTAAATCAAATGCAAAGTAAGTAATAATGGAAAAAAACAACAAGAAAGTTGATGTTTGATAACAGTTTAGTGACGTTAAATCCTGGATTGTAATTGCTGCGTGGCCTCTTCCAGAATGCCTAGAGAGCAAAAGAAACAAAGACACATGACAATCAACCAAATTAATTTAAATTTACCCCAAGAAAAACAAGTCATTGAGACAACCAGCAGGGATATCTGAAGCACAAACCGATTGGCTATCAATTCGCCAGTCGATGACTGCCCACCCGAGACTAACTGGTAGAACGGAATGAAATGCAGTGGCGTTGTAACAAGTAGTGGGCTGGGGCTATCATCGATCGACGGACTGTGCCAGGATATCGGTGAATGCTTCAGCAAGGTAAGGTGTTCTTGACGCGGGAGTTCACCAAGTACGCTTGCTTTAACCGTTAATAACAGTTCTTAGGGCTGGAGAGCAGTTTTTGTAAGAAGAGGTTGAAATGTCAATCTAACGCAACTGCAAGTTTTGACAAACTTTTGTAGAGCACCCTCCAGCCCGAAGAGAGTCCCAAGCAAGTGGTTCATGTGGTGAACTCGATTTCAAGACCCCACCTGTCCCTTTATGGTTGCTTCCAAGACAAGCCAACCAGTTTCTCTTTCGAGTAGATTTAAGTTAATTGGTTGAGTTGCTAGGGAATCGATTAGGTAGTATAATGAGGTTCTATTTCATTTTTTGAAAATTAGAATCTTAAATTCCAGAAAAAAGCTCAAATATTGTGAACTGAGGGGAGATAAATTGAGGACACAATATAGAACTCAACTTACATCGTATCATGTTTTCTAGGGGCTGCATTACGACGTTTTCTTTCGGAAAATACTTTTTTAAATATTCCTTGAATCGGCTGTTTTTAATTCCCGGCAGCTGGCTCCGATGGCTATTTAGGGCCCCCGAAAAAGGACCAGGTCCTCCGCTCTTGAGCTCAGTCACTCTGCAATCACCTTTGTCTCCGTGTTGGTTGCGTGAAGGGATGATTATTGATCTGCCAGGATCAGGGAAAGAGCTTAACGTGGCACCAAAAAGTTGGTCAGTTTTTAATTCGCCAAAAACAACTTCAAGTTCTCCCTTGTTATTATCTAGGCCAGCTTTCCAGATCTCCTTATCGGAGTTTCGACATGCAATGAGGTCGATGCGCTCATTGTTTAACACAGAGCTGTGGTGGTTCACCTCTCTTGCTGAGTCAAGAATGGGCGGTAGAGGTGGAAGAGGAGGGGGCGGAGGAAAGGTGTTGAAGCGCATTGAAAGGGCGAAGGGCTCGTGGTGTCGCAGCGGGAGATTCAACGGGCAGCAGTAAACGCTGCAAACCGGGCCACGCTTTTATTGGTATTGATTTATTTCCTGCGAGCACGTGACCATGAATGGCACTCTTGTAATGAAAAATGCCACTGTCTGGAATGTAAACAGGTGTGATGCTTATAAAACGAGCTCGATTTAGTCATACGCACTGGTTCAGGGGTTACACGCTCTTCCACTTTCACTGAAACGACGACTGTACATTGCAGGTTTCATCTTTCTCATTCGCTGGTCTTTCAATTTCTTGATTTATTATGGGTTCCCAAAAACTAACTCAAAAAAGGGCCAACCTAAAACTCTTACATGGTCTCTCAAACACTTTTAATTGGTCCTTTTAAAATTCATGTTAATTTTGTTGCGCATATTTCAAATCACCACGCCAAAAGTAGCTAACGTGTTTTGACTGAGGTAGCAAAAGCCCTATTAACGAGGTTCCACACCTGAAGGGTGGGGCTTGAGGTGACCCCTAGGTTTATTCGTTTGTAGCGGCTCCCGGTGGCATTAGAAAACCACACCACGTCGACACGACGCGACCTAAAGCAGAGTAGAAGTACAGATGGCGCGTAGCCCAATTCATTTATTGATGTGGTAGTGGTGTGGTATAATGGAAAAGCTCAGTTTATATAGGATCGGCTACACATCGATCCCTAAACAAACACAATTACGTGAAGTGCACTTAGGTAAATTAATTGAAACAATTTCGCTTACGATTGCTGTGTTCTCTTGCGCTCGCTACACGTTCGTGAGGGGTTTTTTTCATTGGTACCCAACGGATCTATCGCGACTTCCAATCACCCTGACAGGGCGAGCTTCTGTTAATACGTGTCCTCTGACGATTTACTACATGTTCATCTTTCCTCAAGGACTTGCAGAATTAGGAGTACCAAGTTCAGGCTTCCAGTAGTAGAGATAAAATACCCAACTCTAGACGAATGGTAATTGAAACTCTTAAAGCGCCTTTACAAAACCCAAGATTGTCTACTTCTAAACTGCTAAAAAAAATCGTCCCTTTACTTCAAAACAAACTGACGTTATTTCGAATTTGCCTGGTTCCCTAATCTTTTGTCAGCCACACTTTGGCGTAATTTTGATATCTGAACGGATTCAACAAGGAAGAATCTAGCTGACCAAGCCAATTCCAGCACAACGCCCTTCAGTACTGATCAAGCCGAACTTACCTACTGACTTATGACACAGGTACCTCCCAGTGATTTCCAAAAAGTGCAACAGAAAATTCATTTGTGGTGATTGCATTTCCTCCCAACCATTTTCGAATTTCTTTTCATTCATATCAAAGCTTGTTTAACTGAATGTTCTAATGTAAGAATTTTTAGTTTGCTTAGAGAGATAAGGCACCAGCAAAATCAACACAAAATCCGCTACTTCGCCGCCAAATTAAGCAATAGCAAGGTGACCCACGGCCATGACACTCCAGGTTGAGGCTGCGAAAGACGCCAGTTCCAACAGGTTACTTGACCTAATCAGTTCGTTGCCTGGAAGAGTATCAAGAAATTCAATGACTCCATCAACTTTGCTGCTTAACCGAGATATAACTCTTCACTAATGAGACGTTAGTAGACATCACTTTCGTGTTTGGTGGATTGATTACCGACAAGTAGTCAGACGACATGAAAAGGAGTTTTAACTGTCATCAGGCGGTTCCACGAAACCCCAGTAGTTGGACTTCGGCTGCTCTGAACTAGCTTGGATTGACAAAAACTGTAACATTTGGCTTCATACCACTAATGCATTGATAAGACGAATAGGAATGTTGCACAACTTGTCTCAAAATAAGTAATGTTGGTAGGATTTTCCTTGACTGCAATATTTGTATTCAATTTTTTGCTCTTTTAAGATGGGGGGAACATTGTCCACACCCTCGAGAAAGGACACTTTTTACCAACAGAGAAACCCGAGCCTCGAACAGTTGTGTCAAAACACCCGCTTCTCCGATGCCACAATAGTCTTTTCCACTCGCTTTGACAAAAACAACGGTGACAAGGATATTTCTGACACTGGACCCGGAGCACTAGAGCCTACATCCATTGGATAACAAAAACAAACGAAACTAGAGGAGGGTTGCCAAGTTTTACAAGAAGGACTTGAGAGGCGCGAATCCGCCGCCAGGGACATGTAGGGGGCTGGTGGGGGCTTGAAGAGCCAGCTCGGCTTCTCGCATCGCGTGCAGACAAAGCTCGTCTTGCCAGGGCGGGGACATGAACTGGACCGGAATCGGCAATCCCTCGGTTCCGCGTTGGAGCTGCAAAATAAGCGTCGCGGGGTCAAGGTTTAGTGTGGACAAAGATTCGCGATTGTGAATGCTCGAATGAGGGGGGAGAGTACACACTCAAGGCACTATCGAGAAGAAAAGGCATACTATGATGCTTGGCAAGGCTGACCTAGGTGCTAGATCTACTGTTACGGTGTGCAGACATAACGGTGTCCGAAAACCACACAGCCCATCCACCTGAGTGTGTAGGGATGAACAGCCATGGGGAGTTGGTGGTCCTGGCGTTTAACGAAATAGAAGGCGAAGGAGACGTACGGTCTAAGTTGTGGCGCTAGCACAGATGAGTGGGGATTGCAATATCTAGAGTAATAAGGTGCTTACAGGGAGCATGTGGCGATGGAGTGGGGAAAGAGCCCTATACCCCTTGTAGAACTCGGCTTCTTGAGGTTCTGACGACTGAATTTCGTGACCATTGACGGCCTGTTCAAGGACCTGGACATCCCGTTCCTCCACAACACACCCCGATGGCATGCAACCTGCCGGTGCATTTAGGGTATTCGCGAGGTTCTGGAACGTCAGCATCCCCGTGGTGGAGTAAGGTGGGTTTATGGGCAATGCCGCAGCGAAACCTGCGACCGGGCAGAGGATCACGTCCAGTGACTTGGCCCTCAGACTGTCCAGGATTCGCCAGCGGAACTTTTGGAGGGTGTGAAGGTGTGACTCAAGGTCTGCGACACTGGAGAAACCGCCCACTGCGTTTACTACGGCTAGACTTTCCCAGGAGCCGGTCTAAATGCATTTAAGGCAATTTAAGCACCTCTGGTGGTGGATATTCACTGTTATTAAAGTCCCTAGTGCGATCCGAACTAATGTAGCTGTTTCAGGCTTGAAAGCATGGAATTAGATGACAGAAATTCACCCTTAAGCCTAGGAGTAAAATGAACCAGGGCCCTATTGTCTACATCAACATTGATTTCACACAAACACAATCAGTAGAAGTTGGACCACTGTGTGAAGAAATAATGGAGGAACGCGGGCTGGGATTGGAGTGTACGTTGGGTGGCTGACGCGATCACCGCCCATTACAAGTCAGTGTAGAATAACCATGTGAATTATATTGAGCTAAGTTTAAACTGTCGGAATGTATAGTAACGGCATTCGCCAACACCTCATACCAATTAGGCTATTCATAAAGGCTACATAGGGCTATACGAATTCGCTAAAATTAATGCTCAAGTTACGCCAATTAACGAGAATTGATACATATGAGCAAGTCGGCCAACTAGGTCTCAGACTAATCGACTTGTAGTCAAAACTTTTGGGTTCTAGTTAGTTAGCAGATTATCAGCGCACTTCAGTTGAAATTTAAGTTCGCGCAAAATTAAGGTCAATGAAGTACAGGGTCATCGTTGGTGAAGTCGTCATTACACAAGGCACTAGGTTTTCATATAACTGTCCATTCGCACCATTACCCATGGCCACGCAGACCGCCTCCAGCAAACTGCGGTAATCGTTATCAAGGTGTGTTTACGCGGCATTCGGCCCTACACGAGGTGGTAACCTTGCATTTGCACTGGGAATGTTGGGGCTTTTGGTGGCCAGGGAAGTTGTCGTTTTCCCTTTTCGTTTTTGGGAAACAAAAAATAGCAAATAACAATAACAGAACGCATGAAATATAATTGCAAGTAAAAGCAAGAAACGCCGAATAGGATGAGGTAGCCGGGAAAAGAAATTCACCAAGTTCAACTTGAATTTGAGCCACCATCGTCGGTACCAGGGCATTACAGACAACTGGTAGATTCGGCGAATGCAGGGGTCGAGTTTGTCGTGGGCGACGCACCGCTTGATCTCCGAGCAGCCGTCCGCGAAAATGCTCTTGAGGAAAAGACTCATGTACTCCTTGGCGGTAAAGGGGGCTTCCCATTCCACAAGCTAAAACAAAGCCCCAAAAAGGTAATTGCGGATGACCTAAATCAAGTTAGATAATCCAAAAAGATTGAAAGTCATATTAACAGCTGGTTAATTGTTTATGTGATTGGACATTTGCCTACAATTTGGTGCTTAATTCAGCTCGAATACGCTAACTTCGTTCTGTTTGCAAATTTTGTGCAACAGTATCAAGAAAAAACGCTACTCAAAACTTGTTTGATTCTTCATTAATGCTGTTGATCAAGGCAACGAATGCCACCGTGTCTCAGGGGCAGTACGCGTAAAATCCGAAATGCTGATTTCCGCTCATTAGGCGACTTAATTGCAGCGCACTCACCTCGTGACCCCGAGCAATGAGTTTGTCCCGCACGTGAAGCAAAGCACGGCGGACGGCGGGAACCGGCACCAAGTCATCCAGCTTCAGAAAGTAGCCAATCCGGAGGCGACGGTCCTTTGGAACCTGTCAGCACAAAAAACAAAGGCACTGCTCTTTTCAACATAACGAGTGTCTGATGTTTACTGTTTGTGAAAACTACGAGACATTTAAAAAATGCTGAAATCTCAACCGTTTACCGTAATTGGCAGAACAAATTAACACCAATCCATTTTGTAAGCCAGCCAACCAATCACGCCTCACTTCGCTTCCTCTCGCTTGAGTTTACTGCTTGTGCCAACAGTATCGCTCAACCCACCGAATTCAACAATTTTATGCCATGTAGCCATCTCAGTTGCGTCGGTTTAGCTGTTGTTTATGAGGCAAAACTAGTCGCATGTGACCGGTAAACTCGATTAACTCAAGGAAAGCGCTTTTCTAGCCGAATATTGCAGCGTGGCGGGCGGCTTACAGCAGCAATTTGAGAAAAAAATAAGTTGATAGATAATGAGGTACACTTTCTCACCTGGTTGAACGGCACCGGTGGGCATTCGGGGTCGACTGATCGCGTAACCGGGGAATTAAACAACGCCTCCATCACCATCTGGCAAGTGGCCACATCGCGGCAAATTGGACCCCATGTCGGAGAAACTAGGATAAGTACAGAGCCGTTAGTAGAACGTCACGTGGATGTCACTGTTCAACACGGGTCACCTCGAAATTTCAAGAGTCGCCTGACCCCACCAGGATATTTGGGTGTACATTTTTTTTAATCAAAATTCCTAGTTTATGGAAGTATCAATGGTAAAAAACAGTTGTGGGTTTGTCTTCTTAGCTGGCAGGAAGTCAAAAATGAGTAGACCGGATTTAAAATGTACCAATATGCCACATGTTGTTAATTAACACCAGAATGAATGCGTTCCAGCCACACCGACAGTGGCGCACATTCCTGATAGATAACACTACTGATAAAGTAAACAACTGTTTCCAGGCATTAAGAATTCACACAGTAAAGATAGACTATATCGTCAGATTTGCGCTCATTGGAATCAGCTAGTGGCGTACTCACTACGTTGGCCTTGGGTTCAAGTCGGAGAAGTAACAACAAAATGGCTGACGCGCTTATCCTAATTGGTTTAGCTTTATTCATCTACGTATGGACTTACGCACACCTCGCTTTCCTAAGCAACGTTTCGGTATTCAATGCAAAATCTTTCCTAGGTGAACCTATTTAGCAGGTTATGATGTGAGCCAAATTCCACCTCAATTAAAGAAACAATTATTCAGAAGACTTCACTTACTAGGCTTCGCTGTAGACACAATTGACATGTTGCGATAACTGAAAAATGAAGAATTCGACTACTACGAGAGAAGAGCGGAAGACTAGAGGTGTTTAGCATGGTGAAATCGTTCATATAACGCCCATGGCCGAAGAACCCACCTCAAACGTCTGGTTGTCGGTTTGAATCCAACTACGCCGCACATGGCAGCAGGCAAACGAACACTTCCACCGACATCCGTGCCAAATCCCAGGGGGGACCCGCCGCCACCAACCAGAGCCCCCTCACCTCCGCTAGAGCCGTGGGGAGTTCGGTCCTTCCTGAGGGGATTTAGGGTCACCCCAGTGATTGGATTACTGCACTGAGTGCTAAAACGAGACGAGAATAAGTCTGGGGGCACGAGATCGAATGTAGTCGAAGTTTAACGCGACACCTAAAAATTCACCATTTTCATTAGATACGCGCAAACACGGAAGAATCTGGATCACGAATGACTCTATTTAGTTTACAACAATCCCGTATTACAACATTGAAACGTCGTGAGCCAAGTTCGAAAACTCGAATATCAACAGGAAACTGGGAAAGAGTGTGGTTTGCTTGGTTAAAATTGATCCGGAAAAAAGCGCGAATTTGTGGAACGATATTAATGGTGCCTTTTGGTTATTTTTGTTTTTTTTCAAAGTTTTTGGAAATTAGTCAAGGGAAGAACACAGCACGAATACATTTTCAGTTTGCGAGATCATAATAAGTACCTTTTTGTCATGGCAATCCACAGGAATGGGTTTTAATAGACTGGCAGAACTACGCGATTGTGGCTTAGCTTGCAGGCTCATTCCGAAAGAAACAACGATTCAGTCTCTAGTCGACTTGGACAACTATCGGCAGCACAAGTGACGGTGCACTAAGGAGCAACTTGATAAAAATTATGAAATTTAAATCAAACAACCAAAGTGGAAAGCATTGCTAATATGACTGTCACTACCACATTACGACATGGCTAAAACCAAAAATGAGAACCGTTTAGCATTAGCGAGCAAATGTAACAAGGTGCTTGAAATAACTGGTCCATTTCAGGTTATGTTGTCAAATTTACTGAAAGCAACGATTTGTAACATTCGCCTCACTTTTTGAATGACACGGGTGCTGAGAGTTTCGCTTGACAACGAACACGAACGTCCTTACGACACACATCTAGCAGTCACACAAATAAAGATGGATTGGAAGTTATTCAGCATTGACAAATGGAGTGTGTTTGAATTATAAATAGCGCCTGCACTTTATGAGAACTTGAAAAATTACGTTACAAGCTTGTCTACACTGTTTAAAAGAATACAATTTACAAGTGGATTAATACGAAGCGTATGAAAGTCCTGTGTTGTTGCGCACCAGTCAGTAATGAGGGAATTGTGCTTATCAATGAAACACAAATTAACAAGGATTGGGCGCGCCAAGAGCTTATCAGACAGGCTTCCAAAAAAAGCTTTTCTTATGTCAACGAAGCAATGATTTGTGGCTATCTGGGGGTGAATAGCTCATGACAACAACTAAAGATGCATCAACATTTGAGCACTCCAAGAATCTGATGGCTTAATGATAATCGGGTATGGGGACACGATGATGCTGTGTGCACAAAACAATGCATTGCTAATCACACGGGAGGTGACGGAGGCAGTAATTTTCTAGATAAGCACCTTGTTGAAACATCCTAGTGCGTAAAACAGTAATCGAGACAAGGGCATTGTTAGACGATTTCACCGTCACTCCCACAGACAAGGATGTGCTGCAATTCCGCCTCCTCAACTAAACACTAGCCCATAGAGTATAGTAAGTAAGGAGAGACTTGCCTCATCATGGTCTGGGGTACGGTAGTTCTCACAAAAGGAACTCCACCAAGGCTACGGATTAACTGAAGTGCGACAGCGTCATTTTTGGAGGCGTGATCGACGTAGCAAGCACAGCCAACACAGGTATCGAAGCCCTTAAAAGTGTGGAAAATGAGGATCAAAGAGAGGAGGCAGAATACCTTGCAAACCCACCGAGGCAGTTCATGCGCATACGGGAAAAACTGGATGTATGTAGAGAGTAGTGGGAGCGTGCATGAGTATTGTTAACAACAAAATCTTGCTTTAGACGTGTACAACACCGAAAGGTGGAAAGCCCGTCTTCCTCGTATTGACATGATACCAATATGCAATGACACAATTTAATTGCGTTGGAGAGTGCTACATTTAGCAGAACAGTTTCTCCTTCAAGGTTCCAGATGCAACTGTGGATGTGCCGTGAAAGCAGTTTCTTTCTCAGAGGAAAATGCAAACCCAAAACAGGAGTGCAGAGGAAAGCCAACTGGGTTTATCAAAGTCATGTTGACTGGAAAAAATTGCTGGTAGTGATCATGAATGAGAGCAGACGTTAAATTATACGTAGATGGTGCATCGATTAAAACACCGGGGCTTGAATGAAAAACAGACAATAACGCGGCGGTTAATACTTAAATCACTCTTATTTAAAGACAACCACGAGTTCATCCTTTACCACAGGGTCACAAAAAACCCCAAACCAACGTGAGTTAATACGATTGTCATAACGCAAATTCGTCGCACCTTGATTCCGATGCACTCTTTCAAGCTGACAGGGGCCCCCGCAAGTGGTCCTTTTAGATTCACATCTGTAAACTGAAGAATAAAATACGAAGGGTTCATTAGCAACTGAAAAGTTGTAGCAAAGAACAATTGGACCAGATTATAGTGGAAAAAACGAACCTCCGGGTAAAGGAACTCGACGACACAGTTGAGCTCCTTATCAACTCGAAAAGCCTTGTGTTGGTAAGCGAGAAGGACATAAGCTGGGGGAAGTTCCTGCTTTTTCAACTTTTCAATGAGCTCATGAAGTGGCAATTGTGTGATCATCTCGATGTCATTTTGGGGCTATTAGAAAAGCGAATACACCATCTGAGAACTAAAAAAATTGGTACATTCAAAGCAAGATGATTGCAGTAAAAATCGTCTTACGGCAACGAAGATCGGAAACGATGAGTGGAATGTGATAACAGAATGAATGGGTTGATAATGAATACTTATGTCTAGACTTCTTTAAACAGACTACGCATGATTTATTCTGAAGTCATACACGCGCCTGAACACGACAGCGTTGCACACGTGGAGTACACTAGAGTGGAAGATAAGGAGCGTACTTTAGTTGGACTTAATGCAACAAAAATACTGTTCGTGCTTTTGTGAGAAACGACGCGTGCAGCATGAAGTGTAGGAGATACAAATGAATACAAAATACGTGAAAGATGTCAACTTACAATTTTGCGTTGGGCGAGATACTCAGCAAAAGCATCCTTAGCCTGGGCAAGTTTTGAAATTTTAGTATTCCTCTTCTTATCCAAAAGACGTCGGTAGTAGTAGTCCAGGGCAACGTGGTTGAGCCAATACCCAATAAAAGCACCAACAGTCACTGCTGCAATCTTGAAAAAAACATACCTCGTGAAAATGCTAAACGAACTTACTGCCGCGTTTAACCCTAGGTGAAACATTTGAGGACACAGTACAGAAACGGGATTAAGCAATACCAGAGCTACACAGGAAATATTTGAGATCACTTGAGTACATCGCAAGCAGCAGGATAAATAAGCTAAGTCAGATCCTGTCAATTAAAACTTTTAGATTACTAGTCTAATGCACGTACACAAAACGAAATACTGGGCCTGATGGTAAAGGCATAAGAAACAAAAATAGCACTAAACATAAAAGACTAAAACTTCAGGACTTTTGACACATTGAAGATACCGCGTTCGAACGTTCGAAAAATAAGGTTTGATCTGATGCAAACCTTAAGGGTCTTTGAGAGTCAAAATGAACTTGAGCGGTGGTGAAACAGTTTTTATACGACAACAAAAGGAGAAACAAACAACAAACGCAAACAATACCTTCCGTGAATCAAGATCTATTTTTACCATTGAAGTGAAAGAGCGGGTTTAGCCTTCGAAATGTGTTTAACGATCAGCAAACTCAATTACACACCGGACACTAACTCAGTTCCTAAAAAAAATAAAAAAGTGTGTTTTGCCGGAGAAAAAAGAAACATTAAATATAACTGTCGTAACATATAACTGCGTGGACAAACGATAAAAGGAAGAGTACTACAACGGTGTGAGGGAATTGAGTTTGGGTCTAAGCATACGAGGATGGCGACAAGACACAATTGATATTTATCATAACAGGGCTATCAGAAATTAAAAATTGTTGCATGGAACGGGTTATGAGACCCGGCAAAGCGCCCCTAGTTACCTTTAATAGTGATAAACAGTTAAAATGAATTATAAAGGTTAAGAAATACGGTTAAAAACGGAGAAGCATATTGTCAAAAGATTTATAAATGGTAAAATTAGAGGAAATAGTGACATTTGGTGGTAGGTGCTGAAACATAATAAAACAGAGCAGCCATTTCAAGGAGGTTCTAAAAATATTTACACTGGGAAAAATTAATGGGGTTAGGTGAGGGAAACCAATTGACGACATTGAACGTGAGAGGGGACAAACGCTTACGAGTAGCCCACGGCTTCATTAGTTTAATTACAAGATACGTCAAGGCCATTACTCCGCGTAGCAGGTAAGCTAAACACAGACATTTTAACTTGTTTAGCGACAACAGATTGACCAAAAAATATAAATTACACAAACACTATGCTGCTCACTAAAAAATTTAATAAAAGCATTATTTTCAACATTTTGTAATAAGTAAATTAAAATAGAAAATCAAAGAGGTTTATGAAGATTTCTGCGTAACTGTACACCGTAATAATGTTGTATAATTTGGCAACTAATGCTTAAATTTTTACTTTAAGCTGAATTTGGCAAATTAGTGAGTCGCTGTTTAGGGGTCTCACATGTGATTTCTAACTCCAGAAAACAGCCGTGGTATTCACCTTACGCCACTCAATCACGAAAACAATGTTAACATAGATTATGTTTCTAAAATAATAGACCTATTAAACTAAAGCATGAGTTGATTGATGCTAAATAAAAGTTCAAATTCAAGACAAACCAGAACCAGGAATCTTGCATTTTTGTTGGCCAACAAATAGATGTCACCAATTGTTAGGGACGGGCATATAGTCTTGAACCACGCCAAGGCCGCTACGTTACATACTTAAAAAGTCAATTAAATTTCAGAAATGGCAGACACGACCGTTTAAATGACGATTCAACCAAATTTTGTAGTGTTAATGCGTTTTCATGCAGCACTACACGATTGATGTATTTATTGATTGATAGTAAGCACGAACTGCTTAACGTATACATTACTGACTGGTCAGAAGATCTGGTCGGGTAGTAGGGGAGGAACATGCACCAAAGAGTGCGTTTGGATGGTCCTCCATTGCTGAAATCGGAGGGAAAATTTCGCGACTGCAGCAGGGAGATTTACGGAATTATATCAAAAAGGATTGTTAAATAATACAAAGCCAAGAGGTAAACTAGTGGTGTAGGAAGCATGTAAGAAGTTCGCCCACTGATGCATGTCCAACACTTCACCGGCATCTTTAAATTTTTGATAACAAATATGGGATTTAGAATTGATGGGTCAGTTAGTTTTAAAGAAATTACCACATATATTCTGCTGCAAGTGATTTAAAGTAAATACAAGTAAAAATTGTGGATTAATTTGTTAGAAGCCCAAGAAGCCATATACACCTTTGTTAAACTACATTCACCTTTAAACTTATCTTGTGCATAACCATTAACTGTACGTTATTTGACATTTAAATGCAATTCATTTTTCATGATATGCCTCTTATTTTAGGAGGCACCCAACTATTTTGCATCTCTAACAAATATAAGGAGAACGTTGTTAACTAATAAAAATGTGTGGTAAAAATATTTCTTAATCCATTTTAAGCGAACTCATTGGAATCAATTACGTAGCAAAATTTTCCAACAAATGCCATTTTCTATAAGGTTCGTTCTTAACGGAAATTCATATATATCTAGATTGTGTCAAATCGATACTACAAACGCACATTACGACGGATATTGAAAGGCAATAGCTTAAAATCGGAAATATATCTTTCAATTCATGTCCAAAAAAGCATTTTCGTAACACAATTAAATCTACATTTTAAGAGATTCTGACTGATAGATAGGTAATTTAATGAAAATTTTACTCAAGCAAATGCAACCCACATTATGACCTACATAGTATTAAATTTTTTTATCAAATCAATTAGTTTCTGTTTTTTAATTATTGTATTCTGATTCATTGGTCCAACCGATGTGCTGCAATTTATTTTGCAAATCTTAACTTGGATATTGCATTCACCTTTATAACAACATTTGGCCACAGCCAATCGGTTTAAGGTTGCGTAAATAACCTTGATGTCACTTTCACCACTACAATACTGACATTTTAAAATTACTCTAGATGACTAAGGTTGCCTTTTTTGTCGTCAACGGTTTTGATTCCCAAGTGCGCAGTGGTTTTGATTTGGAACTCGTTTAATTTAGGTTTTCTTCTGTTTGAATAGTACCGTACACTACAGCGTTAAAAGAATAAGTGACTTCTACTTAATTTTGTGGCACCTTTCTTTAACATAATGTTACTAATGCAGTTGTAACGACATAAGTGTTTCTCTTCTGCCCAGTCGTCAAGTGAACTTACTGTAGCAACAAAACAAACCAAAACTTTCTCTTTAAAACCAACCACAAACATTTATCAAAATCACATAGATATTTAGAAAATGAATAAAAAAGCTTTTTGTAGCACCAGTTTTATTTACAAATCTTGATGCCTTGTTTATTACATCTCAATGTATAGGCTATTTCGGTCAAAAGTTATATCCCGAAAACTCATGCTATGCAAATAATTTATGAACTGTCTTTACAAAAATTGGCATGTGTCATCGGCTATGCTTTACGGGTAAGCTAATGCTGTTTCGCAATAATCTACCCAATTTTCGTAGACATTGGATTGTTATCCAATTTGGGGTTGAACTTGCTATCATGCGATCTGACTATCAATGAGGTGATGCATGAGCCTTAACAGAATGTGGCGTTGTCCTATGCTTGCTTCGTAGTGTGAAATACTAGAGCCCTGATATGAAGAGAGCTGGTACAGCAAACATAGCTTTTTCGACTTATCAAAAAGCCTGAATCTTACGTCTCCCTCTATCCATCCGAGTCCACGACAATGGCTATGCCGCTTATTATATATTGCTTCATGTCCTTCTTCTCTCTGGCTGGCGGAAGATCTTTAATCTCATGCTTTTCGGACGTAAAGAAAGAGGATTGGTTAAGACCGGCGTGGTATAATTTGTTTGCGCCCTTATATGTCGCTACTGTAGTATACCCGAGCCCTATTATGAAGAAGACTGGTATAACAGGGCAGGCTATACTGACCAATCACATGCCGGATCCAAATGTCGGCACCGTACATCCGAGTTCTTCACGGTGGCCACGCCGCCCATTATATACTGCTCCTCATTTGTGTCTCCTCGTTTGGCTGCCTATCTTCCACCGATGCCTTTGGTACACAGAGAGACAAAGGACTGGCTGAGGCCAGCGTGGTCTAATATGTGTGCACCTTCAGACGTCGCCACTGTAGAATACCCCAGCCCAGATATAAATAATACTACTACAACAGAACAGGCTTTATCGACTAATCACAAGCCAGTATCACAAGTCAGGTGCCGTCCATCCGAGTCCACCACGCTGGCCACGCCGCTCATTATTTACTGCACCTCATTCGTGCTCTTCTGAGGTTGGCTGCTTATCTTGATCGCATGCCATTGGAACACAGAGCAACGCAGGATTGGCTGAGGCCAGGTGGTTTAACATGTCTACGCCCTCATACGTCGCCACAGTGGCCCTGTAGAATACCCGAGCCCTAATAGGTAAAAGACCGGTACACAGAACAGGCTTTATTGACCAATCAGAAGCCAGAGCCACGCGTCAGGCGCCCTCCATCCGAGTCCACCGCGCTGGCCACGCCGCTCATTATATACTGCATCTCATCCATTTCCTTCTCTGGTTGGCTGCCCTCCTTTCCCGCATGCCATTGGATCGCAGAGAGACACGCGATTGGCTGAGGCCAGGTGGTCCAACATGTCTGCGCCCTGATACGACGCCACTGTAGAATACCCGAGGCTTAATAGGTAAAAGACCGGTACAACAGAACAGGCTTTATTGACCCATCAGAAGCCAGAGCCACGCGTCAGGCGCCTTCCAT